TCTTTTTTAACTTTTTCCCTTCTTCTTTTTTTTTTCTTTTTTCTTCTTTTCATTTGCTTATTGACTTTTTTTTCCCTAAAGTTTTTTGACCGTTACTTTTTTTTATATGCTTCTTTTAAAGTTTTTTTTTCTTTTTTTTGTCAAAGACTACTATATAATTTGAATTTTTTCGATATGATTTTTAAAATATTTATTTCTCTTGCTCTAATTGATCAATTTTAACTTTTAAGGAAGCTACTTATGTTGAAACAATATGAAACTTACAAAAGTATTCTTTAATGTGTAGTACGTGACTCAATTAGTAATTATTAAAAGGCTCAAATCTTAATAAATTTTCATTTTTCACCACTAATTATCAAGTTAAAGGCATCTTTCTCCTATATAAAAAAGACATCTTTAATTGCATCACTGGTGGAGCAAAATTGTATGTCCAACAATAAATATTTTTTTTAACGCCATAGAAATACAAATTTAGACAATAAATATTAAGGACGTTTGGAAAGTATTTTTAAACCATGATTTAAGTATACCAAACAATTAAGGTCATATTTATTTCACATATTTGAGATTAAAATTTGAGTGTTGTTGCAGCAAAAGCTCTCATAAACAGTCATATTTAATTTTTTACTACAGTAAAAAACTTTTACATAAAATCACATCTCAATTTAAATTAAAAACTCAAATCAGTAAATTAAACGGACTAACATTCCTTTCGCTGTATGGGACAAAACAACCCATGCTAATACCGGTATTTTTTTCCCTTTTTTTTTTTTTTTTTTTTTAAAAGGGCCTAATGTCACTATTGACCATTGACTAGACTTAATTGAAGGATCATATGAGGCAGATAACGGAGTTAACGAAGCAATGAAATTAGCAACAAATCCCATTTCCAAAATATTTCCCTCTTTTCAAAAAGTGGGTTTTAATCATGATTGGGTGACCTTAAACCAGCGTTTCGCCCCCAACAAGAACAGCTTTTCCCATTGTCTTTCCCTCACATGAAAGATGAAAACCCACAATTTAGATTAAAACAAAAAATTAAGGAATTTGTATGGTTTTCCTTCATTTTTAAAAATACTGATATTTCTTACTTATTAACTGATAAATTTATATTATTTTTAATTTAATTTAATTTTTAACTAAATTTAACTCAGATTCAATGAGTGATAAACAAAGAATTTCAGTGTTTTAAAAAAGAGAAAACACCATAAAAAATCTTTAAAAAATTAACCCAAAAAAATCAGATATATGGACCCTACCTTAAATGGAAAAGAGATTTAAAATTCGAGTTTTACTACAGTAAAAAACTCTCAGAAATAGTCATATCTAACTTTTATACTACAGTAAAAAATTATCACATAAAGTCACATCTCAACTTGAATTAAAAACTCAAATCAACGAACTAAACGGACCCTTAAAAATGTAATATTTTGAGAAAGAGTCTCCATACTAGTAGGACAACTTTTTAATTATTGAATATGATCAACATCACATAAAATTAAAGAAATATACAAAATAAACCGTTTTTGATACAAATACACATATAACGATTCAAATCGGAGATTTTTTGCATTTTATTTTTTCTCCACTTATTTCCTTAAAATGGAGTCTGAAAAAAGAAAAGAAAAAATCTGTCGCTTTTGGTCACGTGGGAGTGGAGGCCAGAGAGGGCCAGGAGTGAAATACAAAACCTGATTGCCAGCGAATCTCTTATTGGGTGAGTGATGCCAGTTTGCCAAAGGGGCGTGCTCTTGATCTGTCTTCGATTTCTTCACCATATTTGTATTTTTCCTAATTTCTTAATCCTCTCTCTATATATTGTTATATTTTATACTTTTCCCCTCTATACTAGTATATTGTTTTTATTACTTATTATTATGATTATTTTAACATTTTATCTTTTAAATTTTAAAAAATAACATTCGTTTTCTTAAATTTTATTCTGTTAATAAGTTTTTTTTCTTTTGTTATAATGAGTGGCAGAAATCATCACGTGTCACTTATTTAGTGAGAAATAAATGTATAATTACCCTTATACCCTCATGATCAAATCAGATCCCATTTTTATTGAAAGAATTCACCCATTTCGTTCCCAAAAACCAGTTCTTCATATTCCTCACATCGTTCATCCATGGTAAGTTCCTGCTCCTGCAGTGTAAATAGTGATAACAACGGCTAAGTGATGGAAGAAATTTGAGATCCTATTCGATGTCGATGTCGATATGGAAGGCATAATACCACAACTGCTTCAACAGAGAGGAAGACAATGACTCTTTCGTTAGGCATGCTTGTAAGCACTAGGGAAAGAAAAGAAATATGAAAAATGCTATTGAAATTATGTATACAGGGATATAAATGATGAAATGATCAAAGAGAACTATCGCGATGTAAAGGGGCAGAAAATAGCAGAAACGATTGAAATTGATTGAATGAATGCTTTATCAAAGCATGAAGAACGCCATTAACACTAGCAAAATAAATGTGATTGCAAAAATTGATATTATAAAAAAAAAGGAAAGAGGAATGACAATAATCCCTCTCGATAGTTGTATAAGAGATCTGGAATCGCGGCTTATTTTTTCCGCAATGTGATCATAAAATGAGGAAATAAGCTGTAAGCTTTTACGCATTTTAGTTTTTTTAATCCTTTTTTTAATAACTCGAGTTTTTGCATATTATTTTACGATAATATTCTCCTCATATAGGTTAAATAATTGACACGTGGTGATATTCGTCACTCATTTTAACAGAAGAAAAAAACTTATTAATAGATTAAAATTAGAGAATAACAGATGTTACTTTTTAAAATTTAAGAAGTAAAGTGTTAAAATAGTCATAATTTAAAGATAATTTTTAAAATTAATTCTTATCATTATTACACGCAATAATTAATGCAACGTGTCACACGTCACGTGTGCAATCACTATTTATTATAGACAAATATTTTTTAAAAATGTTTACTTTATTTACAACCTTATTTTGTGAAGTATGAAATAATGCCTTTTTGTTTTTGTTTTTGTTTTTTCAGGGAAATACTTATTTTTTTTTTCTTTTTTGGCTTACAATAGTCTATCAATATATTTCTATACCGTACTAGGCAAACGACAATTGAACGAGCTTCCTAGAAAGAAATATTGATGGAAATTACGTTAGAGTTTTCTTTTATGCTCCAGTCAATCACATTAAGCAAAAAAAAAAAAAAAAAAAAATGCATGTATGCTCTTTTATTTTTCATTGTCTTTTAAATATGTACACGGAATTCTCCCAAGTCCCAAATGGATCTCTCTCCGAATGGAGTTTTTTTTTTTTTTTTTTTTTTTTTTTTTTTTTTTTTTTTTTTTTTTTCTAAATCAATTTGGATTTAACTTTAGGGGCTGTTTGGTTGGTATACTCAAACTCACAATTCTTAATTCTAGTATTTAAAATTTAAATTTTTTATGAGAGTTTTACACTATAATAAAATTATGGATTTTAGTTTGAATATAGGAAACAAACACAATTATTTTTATTTATGGTGATGGTTGATGGGTTTGCGGATCTCTATTTAGTTATTTTTTATTTTATTTTAAAGTTTTGTGTGGTCTCTTCTTAGCTTTTAAGGACCAATTTTTTATTTTTTATTTTTTTTTTTTGTAAGAATTTAGTTTTTCTTTTTTCCTTTTGAAAGGGTTGTAAGAATTTAGTTGGACAAAAATCGACATCGACAATATATTTGTTATCATATTAATGAAAAAACCCTATTATTTTTCATATTAAATGCTTTGAGGCCAAAATAAAAGTTGACGGTAGCTTATATAGTAGAGAACTTGTTTAACAAACTCATAAAATGTGATGGTTCATAGACACTCTTATTTTTTAAAGATGATTCATAAAAATTAATGACTCGTAAGGTAGTTTGTGTGTTTTTTTAGTACTTCATTAATAAATGTGCGAGCATTGTCACTTATTTTTGGTTTTTAACACAATTGTTCTCCGTTGTGATTTAACAAATTACTCTTTAAACTTTTGATTTTAGTAATTAATTTTTTAAACTTATAAAATTATTGCAATGTGTTTCAATTTATTAAATTTGCTCAAACTTTTTATAAGATTTAAGAGGTTAAAAATTGTAAAATTAAAATATTTGTGTTACAAATTGGGATCTTATATGTTAGAATTTATGGTATTGGAGGAATATACGGGATCGTTTAGTTCGTTAATTTGAGTTTTTAATTCAAGTTGAGATTTGATTTTATATGAGAGTTTTTTACTGTAGTTAAAAAGTTAAATGTGACTGTTTTTAAGAGTTTTTTACTGTAATAAAACTTAAATTTTAAACTCAAATCGATGAAATAAACGTACACCGACTAACGTCAGCTAGAGTTTCTTTTGTAATTAAATTTGTGCTGGATTTGTCACAACGGCATTATTTGTATTCAACTATTAATTGCAATTTTCTTTTCCTACAAATATAAATAAGAATATTTTTATTAAGGAAAAAAAATTTAATCAACTCTCATTTGACCAAATTACTTATTAAAATTCCAAAAAAATATATATATATTAAAATACCCCACTGAAAGAGGGCAGGGCATCAGAGCCTCTGTGTTTTCCTTTAAATGCTTCTCCCTCTACAGTTCTGATCTTACCGTTTCCTCATTTTCAGGTATTAACTCTCTCTCTCTCTCTCTCTCTCTACACGATATTCATGCTTGAGTGTAGTAGATTTTACCCGGTAACTGCATTTTGTTGTTGTTTCTTGTAAATATTTTCTGTTTTTTTTTTCTTTTTTTCTTTTTTGTGGAAAAGGACCGAGAGACTTATTAGATAGTCCCGTCAACATAATTGTCTTTTGTTTTTTTCCCCCCTTTCTTAACTACACTCAACATTTTCTCCTGTTCAGGAGATTTTTGCATCTTATTTGCTTGGTTTTTTAGGAGTAAAAATCTGTTTTTTTTTTTTTTTTTGAAATGAAATTTTGGGTTTTACTTGAATAGTTTAAAGTGGTAGATCTTGTTTTTGTCAAATCTGGAAATGGGTTTGCTCAAGGATAATCTTTTCACTCTCTCTGGGTTTTACTATTTAGTTTGCGATTAGGAGTTTTCCTTTTCCTACTATCCAAACATATTGTAGTTCGGATTTTCGACTTAAAAAACTGGGTTTATTTAATCATTGTGAAATAGGTCTTGTCTGTGTGTGTTGAGGTACGTCTTCTCCGTAGATATTCTCTTATTCAATATACATATCTATATCTATATGTATATATAAACTCTTACTGATTTTGTATTAACCAATGTGTGTTTTGAGTTCGAAAGAATTGTGGGATTTTAACTTTTTGGTGCCTTTTAACAGAAATAGTGAAAATGGTGATTTCTATTGCAATATATCGTGCCATCTTTTGTGGTTGAAGTTGTGTATTATCTTCACATTCTTTAGATCGTGCCTTTCATTTTTTCTCCTTAAAGTTGGCTTTTCTCTGACCTGTTTCGTTTTGGCTACATTTTCTGTCAAGTGGAATATTACTAATAATAATATTATTAGTAGTAGTGGTAGTGCGAATTTTTTAAAATCTCTCCTGAACCATACTCATTGTTCGACCATCTTTTTTTTATGACAGCATTTTGAATAATATTTCGGATCCCATGGATGATTCTTTCCAGAAATTACTCTATGTTCATTTCTATGCGTTTTAGGTGTTTGATTTAGACTTTTTGCTAAAGAAGATCTATGAGTATATCTTTAATTTTTATTTTATTTTATTCCATTTTATTTTACTTTCACTTTCAGTAACTTTTATATTCTATTCTTTGAATTATGCTAAGTTTTGCATGTGGTTCATATGATTTTTCTTGCATTCTATGTGCACTGTCATAGTTTCCATGTTTGCCAAACATTCCAGCTTAGTTTGTCTTTGTTAGTGAAAAATGTAATTTTTTTTCTTGCTTCTGCAAGCATTTTTTTTTTAAGTGTAAAATGGCCTGCTCAGTAGAAGTGACAGTACGGAGATATAGAAAAGGAACTATTAAATTGTTTACTTGAAGCAATTTTACTATTAAATTATTTCCTTGAAGCAATTTTTTTCGTGCGTTGGAAGATTTTACTTTGTGGAGAAAAATTTGCCACTTTATAGCATAAGTTATTTTGTATTTTATTCTGTCTTTACAATTAGACCCCATTTGATCAAAACTTTTGCTACATGTTTGAAATTGCACTAATCTGTTTAAGAACTTTAATGGCTTAATGTCTAATCCTGATTGTTCCATGGTTAAATATTTGTGGAAATTTTTTTTTTAATACTAGCAATTATCTGGCTATGGTGTTTCATTGTGTCAATCTGCTTTGAAATTGTTCTTATGGCAGTTACTTACATGTTATGAATTTGATATTAGCTTATTGGAAAGTTACATTGGATCTTTCGCATGCGCCGGTTTTTATTACAATTTTTTGTTGTCTTCATTACAGCAAGGTTACTTTTGAGCTTGCAATATGTCAGACCTTGAGGCCCCCTTGCGTCCAAAGAGGAAGAAGATCTGGGTGGACTACTTCGTCCAATTCCGTTGGATTCTTGTCATTTTTGTGGTCCTCCCAATCTCCTTCACTCTTTACTTCCTGACATATCTCGGAGATGTCAAATCAGAAAGGAAGTCTTTCAAGCAGCGTCAGAAGGAACACGATGAAAATGTCCAGAAAGTCATAAAACGCCTCAAACAGAGAGATCCATCAAAGGATGGTCTTGTCTGCACAGCCCGTAAACCTTGGATTGCTGTTGGGATGCGAAATGTTGACTACAAGAGGGCTAGACACTTTGAGGTTGATTTATCTGCCTTCCGGAATATCCTTGACATTGACAAGGATAGGATGATTGCAAGAGTCGAGCCCTTAGTTAACATGGGGCAGATTTCTAGGGCGACAGTCCCCATGAATCTTTCCCTTGCTGTGGTTGCTGAGCTTGATGATCTTACTGTTGGTGGTCTCATTAATGGCTATGGAATTGAAGGAAGCTCTCACATTTATGGCCTGTTCTCTGATACCGTTGTGGCTTATGAAATTGTTCTAGCGGATGGCAGAGTTGTTAGAGCTACCAAGGATAACGAGTTCTCCGATCTTTTCTATGCTATTCCATGGTCTCAGGGAACACTAGGACTTCTTGTGGCTGCAGAGATAAAACTTATTCCTGTGAAGGAATACATGAGGGTGACGTACAAACCGGTGGTGGGTAATCTTCAAGAGCTGGGACAGGGATACATTGATTCTTTTGCTCCTAGAGATTGTGACCAAGACAACCCTGACAAGGTTCCGGACTTTGTTGAGACAATGATTTATAATCCAGCAGAGGCCGTGTGCATGACGGGCCGATATGCATCCAAAGAAGAGGCCAAGAAAAAGGGGAATGTGATCAACAGTGTTGGGTGGTGGTTTAAACCTTGGTTCTATCAGCATGCTCAGACGGCATTGAAGAAAGGGGAATTTGTGGAGTATATCCCAACAAGAGAGTACTACCACAGACACACAAGGTGTTTGTACTGGGAGGGAAAGCTTATTCTTCCTTTTGCCGATCAATGGTGGTTTAGGTTTCTCCTTGGCTGGATGATGCCTCCCAAGGTTTCTCTCCTCAAGGCTACTCAAGGCGAAGCGATCAGAAACTATTACCATGAGATGCACGTCATTCAGGACATGCTTGTTCCTCTATACAAGGTTGGAGATGCTCTGGAGTGGGTCCATCAGGAAATGGAGGTAAAGTTCTTGTGTTTTTTAGTTTAGTATATTGTGTTCCGATTGTTTTTCTATATTGTTCCTGCCTTTTTCTTGCTTCCAATTTTTTTTCCTTTTGCTTAGCATTACTACTGGTGGTTTTCCTAAGAAGGCACTAGGTCAGCAGTTAAGTTAATTCGCTGTCTAGGTTGTTTTGTTCCTTATTTTCTTTGATGTAGGTTTCTTTTTTCCCGTTCTCTTTTCCTGAAAGAAACTCTGGAAATTGATAAGAACTAACGTTATTATACTCTCACACACACACACACATATATAATCGTTTGAGAATCTAGGATATGCTACTGCACCTTATCTGTGGAAGTGATTCCCTGAAATAAAATTATATTAGTTATTTTAGTGTCTAAAAGAGTTGGATGAAAGAAGTAGACAAAGAAGCTTCTTAATTGGGGTTGCTAAGAGGCATTTCTGCTCTTAATTGCTTCTAACACTAGTGTCAATATCTTCACTTTGGCCTATTTTTCTATTTCACCTATTTAATGCAGCTGAGCAACAAGTTATTACAATTGTATTCAGCATCTCCAATGCAGCCAAATTAGTAATGCCAATATCAAATTTTAGCATTTGAGTTGGAAAAGCACTCCCGAATGCGGAACAATGTTGTATGCTATATTTGGCATTTGCTATATATAGTGGCAAATTAGGCACTAAGTATAGCATATACTAAATTCTGGCATTTAATTGCTAATTGCTATTGGTTGATGTCTTGACTTTTTTATATAATCATTAGAACATTGTCATTTTTTAAATTTATTTTACAATTAATTGCTTAATTTTACAATTTCTAAAGCTTAATAATTTATGACAAAAAGTAGAGATAGTATTTGAAATAGCATTATGCATTGAAAGTTGAAACACAAAATAGAATAGCATATCAAATGTGGCATTTTCACACTTTTTAGAGCCAAATATAGAATTGACATTGGCATTTGCATTAGAAATGGTCTTAGTAATTAACTTGTTCGAGTATATTTGTCTTGAAACCAACTCATCTATGTTCTTTGTCGTTTCTTTAGGTATACCCCATCTGGCTCTGCCCTCACAGACTCTACAAACTACCAGTCAAAACCATGATTTATCCTGAGCCAGGCTTTGAGCTACATCGCAGACAGGGAGACACACATTACGCTCAAATGTACACAGATGTCGGAGTATATTATGCTCCGGGCCCCGTCTTAAGGGGTGAGGTTTTTGATGGTGCGGGAGCAGTTCGCAAGATGGAGGATTGGCTGATCAAGAATCACGGATTCCAGCCACAGTATGCAGTGTCGGAGCTTTCTGAGAAAAGCTTCTGGAGGATGTTTGATGCCGGCCTCTACGAGCACTGCAGGAGGAAGTATGGTGCTGTCGGAACCTTCATGAGCGTCTACTATAAGTCAAAGAAGGGGAGGAAGACCGAGAAGGAGGTTCGGGAAGCTGAGCAAGCCCACCTTGAGACTGCATATGCTGAGGTCGATCAACCTGCGGACTGATCATCTTAAAAGTTAAAACTCGGTAATAACCTTTTGTGTGTTTCGTGTTATTTGCCAACTGTTTTTTTTTAAAAAAAAAAAAAAACTAGTTTCGGGTTCTCTTTGAACTTGCATTTTCGGAGCTACTGACTGCTATTAGTCGTTTGAGTTTTCTTTTCGGATTGTATTGAACTCTGACGTTTGTTAGTCATTAGTCTTTTGAATTACCCAGTTCCTTGTCCTTTTCGTAGTCCTTTTCTTTGGCAATTGGTTTATTGAATAAAACCCAAATTCCAAAACAAATAACAGTTCAAACTTCAAAAGGTGATGCGCAAATGATTGGACGCTTTTTTTTGGCATCTTTTTGTACAAAAATTACTTAAACGTCATTTGCAAAAATGACGATACAAGTTCTATGAACTTGCCCAAAAAGAAAAAGAAAAAAAAAAGTATGATAACGTTACCATGAACGGTAGAGACTTGAAGTTGAAGGGCAGGTATTCGCAATATGAAAAATGATATTTATACCTGGGTGAATTATGGACCAAGCAATTGATGCATACGCCATATAAATGTATCCCAATGTAACTATACATTATTGTTGTTAAAGAAGCCATGAATCCATCCTCTTTGGGAGAAATTATTTAGTACTAGGTATACCACGTTACCATGCTTATCTGGTCCACTTATCTAATATATATTTCATATCTTATTGATTGATCACATTAAATCTATCTAATCATGCTTCTCTTTCTTAATGTATTTTACTTTATCAACTCTAAAATAATATTTCCCTTAATTTTTTGAAATTATTGGGCCCGTTTGTTTCCATTCTCATTTTCGTTTTTCACGTTTTCCTAGAAGAATCCGTACCAAAACTAAAAACAAAAACGTTTTTAAATTTTTTCCAAAAACTCATTTTTTCTGAAAACGGATTTCATCCGTTTTTCATTTTCTTCTTTCTTTCACGCCTCTTCCACCGACCGCTGTGCCTCGTTCTTCTTCGCAGCTCCTTCTTCTTCGCGCCAATCGCCGACCACCGTGCACCTCCTTCTTCATCACCAACCGCCATGCCTCGTTCTTCTTCGCAGCTCCTTCTTTGCAACTCCTTCTTCGCAGCTCCTTCTTCTTCTTCACGCCGACCGCCGTGCGCCTCCTTCTTCGCCGACCGCCGTGCGCCTCTTTCTTCTTCTTCTTTCCCGGTGCCGTGCCACCTCCTTCTTCGCAAGGTTCCTTCTACTCAACTTTTTTTTTATTTTGAAGGCTTACTTGATTTTTATTCTTATGCATTGATGTTCCTTATCTGTGTTTATGAGGGAAATAGAAGCTATTTGTTACTATTTATTTATTTGTTACATGTTTTTAATATATTATTTAATATATTTAATATTATTATTTAATATATTTAATCTTATTATTATTTAATATATTATTACATGTTTTTAAAAATTAAACCACCAAACATAATCTCATTTTTTTTAAATTGAAAATAATTTCAGAATAAAACTACCAAACGCATTTTCAGAAATGATTTTAAAATGAAAATGAAAACGTTTTCATTTTCATTTTCATACAAAAAACAAAAACGTTTTGAAACGAATTTCAAACGCACCCATTGTTTCCTACCCTTATACTTAGGGAACTTGAAGGAAAAAAAAAATGAACAATGTTTTCCCATTAAAAAAAAATAATGTTTCGTTTTGTTTTAAACAATATGCGCCAATAGTTTTTTTAAGGACTACGAATAAAATGGTCTTAGTTAATTGAAATTAACCATCCTAATGTTAAATATTTATTGGACGTGTGTATTACGTAAACACGGTTAATGTGGTCCACTGAGTCTACTGAATACTTCTTTTTACAAACGTCAATAATTATCCATGTGAGCTACCACAAAAGAAACTAAAAATGAACAATGTTTTGTTTTGTTTTAAACAATATGCGACAATAGTTTTTTTAAGGATTAAGAATAAAATGGTCTTAATCAACTGAAATTAACCATCCTAATGTTAAATATTTATTGAACGTGTGTACTACGGCCTCGTTCATTTCGCCGATTCGAGTTTTGCTACAGTAAAAAGCTCTCAGAAACAATCACATCTAACTTTTTTGCTATAGTAAAAAGCTCTCACATAAAATCACATCTCAACTCAAATTAAAAATTTAAATCAACGAACTGAACGGGCCCTACGTAAACACGGTTAACGTAGTACACCGAATCTATTGAATTCTTCTCTTTACAAACGGTAATAATTATCCATGTGAGCTACCGCAAAGGAAACCAAGAACCGCGGAATCGCTTAGTCTCTATAGTTGATTGGCAAGCTAAAAGTTTCAGGAGAATCAGTAAATCTGCTCCACTTAAACCACTTCTTCGGTTTTGTCCATTCTTTTAGAATTCGATAATTCTTAATGTATAATGGAAGAAAGGGAAGATGGAAATTTTGTATTGTTTTAAGACAAATTTTTATACCCTTACAATGACGAGTCATTTTTTTAAAATTTTTAAGGAGTTGTTTGGTTAGAGGATTCGTATTCTGATTCGAATCATGGTTCGTGGTTCACTACAGTATTTTCTCTCATAAAAATACACGTAAATCAAAAATAATTCTAATCTCATAATTTTAATCCATGATCAAACGTTTCCTGCTGTCAGTGTGGTGGGACTAAAGAGAAGGCCCAGCTATATCATCATTTCCTCGTTTTGTTTTTGCAATTTAAGTTGAGCGCTACTTTTGGATAAAAATTGTTTATTCTATCCATTATTAATTAAATTCAACACTCATTCTTCTAAAAGATCTCTTACTAACAATGCACATTTATAACCGTCAGACATGATCAATATCATATAAAAATAATAAATATGGAGAATATATAATTTTTCACGACTTAAAAATAAAGACATATAAGTAGTTCATGTTTACAAGTTCTACTATATAAATCTTTTAAATTCAATTATAAAAATGAACTCATAACTTTATTGAACGATGGTTTATTATAGAAATCAATTTTCTGTATTTCTTGCCTCTAAGTTGTCACGTTAAACAAAAAATAAATGCAAAAAACTCTTCACAAAGAGGAAAAGATGAATGTAAGAATCTCTCCGCTTTTATAGGGAAGGCAATCAAGTAACGCCGATAAACTTTAAGAAGTATGGTAATATTTTAGCCTCTAAAGTTTTAATTTTGATAGAATAATTCTTGAGTTTTTTTTTTTTTTTTTTTTTTTTTTTTTTTTTTTTTTTTTTTTTCAAAATAGTTTTGGTCACTGACATTAAAAATGATAAAATATTTTAAAATTTAACATAGATAATCATATTAATATTGCATAATAATAAAAAATTTTACATAAATAGTTATAATAAATGCAAAATATTCTAATTCCCATCGGGTTTTAACAGTGAAGAGGACATTTTGTACATAATGTAGCTACTTTATTAAAGTTTCGAGTTATTACGCAATAAAAACACAATCACTAATAATGGAATCCGGAAATTATTAATCAATCTCAATGTTGAGGACAAAAATTGCCAGAAAAAAAAAAAACTCAAATTTAAGGAGTAATGTTATAAAATTAAAAGTTAAGGACTAAATTGCTAATATGCTCAAAGACTAGTAAATCATTCATTCTACAAATGCAATCAATGACACTGCTAGTTTTTGTCGTTTGGAAGCAAATGATCAATATTAAGAGTTCAGAGATAAGTTATTAAAATCCTACAGATTCAAATTCAAGGAGCAGAGGTGTAAAATGTCATGTAAAATGCCCATTTTTTTCCGCTAGAATAGATTAAAAAAACAAAAGAAACAAAAAAGTTGGGTATTAGAGGTGAAAGTTTAAGCCGCTTGGTTCTGACTTAGTGAGCTAAATGAAAATTTTGGGTCGGGTTGATCCCGTCTTAAATGAGAGAGTCATGGCTTGGCCCATAATTTTATAAGGTAACTTTTTAGAGAAAATTACAGAATTTATTTTTAAGAGTACATGAGTTTGGATTTCTATCTTTTATTTTTGATTAATACTCTTATATTAGTATAGTTATTTGATTAAAAAAGTTATTAATTAAGAGTAATTGTCTTCAAGTTATTAATTGAATTTACCTTTAAGTTATTTCCAGACCCATGTAATTGTCTATTTTTCCTTATTTTTTAAAACGCCTTTAAAAAGGGGGAGTAGCTTTTAGGTTCTAAATTTTGATCTGGGCCAACAGCAACGGGTCTTAGGCCAATCTATTTAGCCCGACATAAACATACAGCTCTAGTAGGTATTGGATAACCATACCCTTTAACTTCCGTACATACATCATTTTTGTCTAGATTAATTTTATAAATGCTCTTTAAAATATGTACCTTATTTTAAAGTGCTCTGTAATTTTTAAAATAGTTCAAAATACTCCTTAATCTATAGAAAACTTATCAAAACACCCTCTCTATCTAAGTCCGTCTATAAAGTTAACTAATTTGATGATGTGGCTTGTTATTAAAGCTTCACAAAAGTTGTTTAAAGTATAAACTCTAGTTAGTAATAGCAAAAACAATTAGCTTTATATAGTTCATACAAAATCAATAAAATTTAAAAATTAAAAACGGATAAAAGAACAAACAAAACAAAAGTTAGAAAAACAAAAAGAAACAAAAATAAATAACAACAAACAGATTAGATGAAGAACACATATATGGAAAAACATCTGAAAAACATATTAGGCGCGTTTAAAATTTGTTCCAAAATGATTTTATTTTTTATATGAAAATAAAAATAAAAACGTTTTCAATCTTAGATAAAAATTATTTTTAAAAATGCATTTGGTAGTTTTATTTAAAAATTATTTTTAGTATAAAAAAACCTATTAATATATATATATATCTCTGTACTCGAGAGAAGAGAAAACGAAAATAAAAAATAACTAAAAATTATTTTTCATTTATCTCTTATTTTATAATAAATAAAAAAAATTATTTTTATTTTATTTTTATCTTTATTACGCTAAATACTATTTTAAAAATATTTTTATTTATTTTTTTTAAAAAAATAAAAAAAATAAAAACGGAATGAATTCTAAAAAGTCATTCTTTTTCCAATAATGTACGTTTCATCGTGGAGTGAGTGGAATCACAAGCGTGTCGCACGGGAGGGGATGAGTCGTCGAAGGGCATTGTAGCTAAGCTTGTGCCGCCTCCAGCAGTGCCTCTTTGTGCGACCCATCCGGACACGATGAACCACACTCGTCGTCGTAGCGTTACAATCACACCAAACAACCTCAGAAGCGCATTGCCTCCCTCGCGAACAACCATTCCAATCAAAATCCAACAACAACTGTAACTGTCCGATCTATATATCCCAAAACATATCTATATATCCCACCATATATCGCCATATTTAGATGATGAATCCTTGTTTCTTGTCAGCAAAAACCCAAACTTACTCTCCTCTTTCACACAAACATGGAACATCTTTATTGCTCTATCCAGATTTGTATTTCATGAAAAAAAAAGAAAAGAAAAAGAGCAAAAGTAAAAACAAAATGGATGAAGAAGGAGAATGAAAAAGAAGAGTGTCAAAGATTGCATCAGAGGGAAAAATTTGATGGGAAGAGAATGTTGGGGCTTTTTTTGTTTCGTTTCAACTATTTCCAGAAAATTATGGGTTTTTATGTTTTTTTAAATAACGTTTTTGTTTATTCTCTATTTTTAATATTTAACCATTTTATGTATTTAATTAGAATTTAATAATTTTTAATAATTACCCCGTGTTAAGATTATAGACGATGTTGAATGAAAGAAGTATTTTAATACTTTTTTTTATGAATTAAAGAGTATTTTAAACTGTTTTAAAAAATTAACAGACATTTTAAAATAAGATATTATAAAAATATTTATGAAATTAATCCTTTTTGTCTTCATTCATTACCAATAACCATAATTTTGGATAAACAAGAAAGTATGAGAGAAAGTATAATACCACGTGGCCAGTGCGACCGTCACCTCACCCACTAAAGAACGCTCACAAAATCACACACGCAGAATAGAAAGCCTTCTTCTCTATCATGTTATATATATATATATATTATATTAGCAACTTTTTACTGTATTCTCTCGTTTTTTTAAACACCAATAATTTTTATTTATTAGTCATCAAATTTAATTTGTATTAAATCAGATTAAAATTAAATTAAATTAAAAAGTAATATAAATTTAATTGTTAATAAGTAAAAATATTAGTAGATACTTAATTCATTTATTTAAAATTATTTTTATTTTATATGTATTTTTTATGAGAAAGAAATACTATAAAAAATTATAAATTATAATTAAATCAGTAACTAACGAATATAGAAATAAATATATATGGGCCTGTTTGTTTGCGTTTTCGTTTTCATTTTTCACGGTTTTCAAAGCAAAAAAATGAAAACGGGTGTTAAAAACGTGTTTGGTGTAATTTTTTTTAAAAAACAAAACCAAAAACGTTTTTGTCTTTTTGTGGAAATCAGAAAACGAAAAAAATGTGTTTTCATTTTCTCATTTTCATTTTCTGTTTTCTGAAAAACGGATTTCACTTTTTTTTTTCTTTTTTATTTTCTTCCCTCTTTTCTGAAACCATTTTTGTATTATATATATTTATTTAATATATTTATTTAATATATTTAATAATATTATTTATATAATATATTTAATAATATTATTGATTTAA